CGCAGTACGCAATACGTAAATATTCCGGATAATTAACAACAACCTTGCTCAAGTTCTTAAGCCATATTATCATATCAATAAAATAGGCTGATTACTCTGACAGTTATTGTTTAAAAGTATTAAGTGCACATCTTCTTTCTTTAAAATTTTTTGTTTCATTCAAAAATTGCATTTTATGCTTCATTCTGTTAATCAATATTTTAAAAAGCTACGTATGTAGAGCTAATCTTTAAATACGTTTTTTATTGGCAAAAATAATTTTCATATATACTTTCAATTATCATATAATTCAATAAATTTCTGGTTATGCTAGAGAGTATATCTCAAATTTTGCTTTTAAATTTACTTTTTATTTAATCAAAGAAAAAAAAAAAATTTGATTATAGAAGTGTTTACATTTGTCTTAATTATTTATCATTGCTAGTTTGAACCTTATTAAAATTAAATCATATTGGCTTACAAAATATTTATGTGGAAATCTTTGTGTAAAATCACTGCATTGAACTTACATTGTTAAAAAAATCTTTGATGCATAATTCTATATCATATTTTCACGTAATAATGCCTGTTTGCGCGTTATTTCGAGTACACACATGTGCATTATTTTGAGTTAAAGACTGATTTTCTAACATAGGAAAACATTTATATAATAGGTTCATTTGCATTACCGTATTGGCGTGTAATAACGCACATGCGCGTTATTTCGAAACACGCCTTTTTTTGAAAATTGCATTTTCGACTCGAAATAACGCACAAGCGCGTCCCGAAATAACGCACACCTTTATATATAATATATTGAATTAACCGTCTCTAAATTTGTCAGAATGATTCGAAATATCGCGCATGCGCGTCCCGAAATAACGCGCATGGTCTCGAAATAATGCGCGATGCGCGTTATTACGCGCCAATACGGTAGTCAAAATATGCACATTTCAGAATCATGCATGTTATATTCGGTGATATATTTTGCGAAGTAACAATCATAGGAATTATTACGCGAAAATCCAACTCGGTTTTTGAGATTAATTGCAAAAAAATTTTATTTAATATAAGATCAACTTGTTATTTAGAATACTGATAAATGATACTTTACAAAACAATACATTACAACACTTAAAAAGATACGTATAATCTGCTGATTCTTATCTGACTTACGTAAATATTATTACTATGAAAATTTAATGCAATATTTATTTAAATACTTTATAAATACAATAGATCACAAGTAAATGAAAAGACACATTAAAGAACCAAGATTCTTCATTGTACACCATTTAACACTCCTTTAAAATGTCTTTTGCTATCATTGCTGCCGCAATAGGATGATAAAATGACCTATTTTCTTTAAAAGTTTTCTTTGCCAAATCAGAACCATTCTTTGTTTGATTCAATAATCTAAAAATAAATTGAATTTAATTAAAAAAGGATAAATACAATTTAATTGTTTATGTTTAAAACCTACCTATACAAAGGCCTGACATATTTCATTCTACCCTGCTCAGTTACAAATTTGACCACGTGAGGAAAAATGGGGTCATATTCTGATCTTAAACAGACTTGTTGCCACCCTATGATGAATAAAATTATTAACATTTTTGAACAAAACTTTTAAAATTCAAAATATACAAATATAAACATACTAAATCGGATTTCAGAATTGCGAACATCCATGAAACAATAAAATTTATTTAATGCTTCAATAACTGGGCACGGTAGAGGTGAATGGTCGTATAGACGTTCCAAAAAAACCACTATAGGATTTGAACATGAACATTAATCAACCAATGTTACTTCTTTAACATATTAAAATTGATCAATTACTTTTTTGCCCAGGAGTAAAATTTTCAATATCAGAAGGTGAAAATCCATCAAAAACTGTATTATCTCGGGCACGATTCCATCTATAAAATAAAAAAATATGTAAATAATAATATTTAAATATTACAAATATTTATATGAAATTTCAATCAAATAACGAACCTTTCAGCCAATTCAGAGCACGCTTTTGCAAGTGTTTGATCAAATTCATTTTCTACTGGAGGCTAAATGAAAAATAAAATAAATATGTATAATTTTTTAACAAAAATTAATAAGTATAGCAAAATTAAATACCATTCCAGGGGCGTGTAACCAAGCATCCCATTGAATCTCATCCAACTTAGCCCTTTTATCAGGAAAGTTTTTCTCCACAAATGAATATAAAAATTTCTTCCAATCATCAGTAGTAATTGATTTACCGGCAAATTCTTGAACATGAGCTTTCATATAAGGTTCAAAATTCTGAGGTCCACCAACGACTTTTTGGATGTGATAAAGAAAATTGAAACCTTTTTCTATAATTTCATTTAATGTCAAGATCTTGTTGTTATATAAAAATGTTCAAATTTTTAGGTATAGAATGTTAAATAAATCGTACCATATGGAACCGAAGAAAAGCTATCATCAGGATCTACATCTTTCAATTTAGGAGTCAATGCTGTCAAGTCATTATTTTGACCAAAAAGGTCAATATCTTCTTTCAACGCTCTCCATCCAATAATTGCATCAAATTCGCTTGCTTTTTCACCATGCAAACGACCTAGTTTTTTAAAGTATTTGTTAATAATAATTTTAGAATACCGATTTTACAAATAATTAATTTACCCATAATCTTTCGTTCAATGAATACAGTCCAGCCTTCGTTAAGCCAAAAATGTTCCTAAAGTATGTTATTCAATATATTAAAATATATATAAAAGCATCAAAAATTAGCCTTATTATAGCATCGTACCCAATTCGAGGTTGTAACAAGATTTCCCATCCAACTATGAGAAATTTCATGCGCTACAACATCTACAAGCGATCTATCACCAGCCAATAATGTAGGAGTAACAAAAGTTAGACAAGGATTTTCCATTCCTCCACTACAAAAAAAAAAAGATATACTTAGCAAAAAAGAAGATGAAAGAAATTAAAAGTATTAAGAAGAAATAATTTACTAGGGAAACGATGCAGGAAGAACCAAAAGGTCGTATTTTTTCCATTCATAAGGAGTAAGAAGTTTTTCCCCAGTTTCAATAAATTTTTCAGTATCGACAAATTCCTGAGCAGCACTTTCAACTACTTCAGGTTCAGACCATACAGTTGATCTAGGACCAATTT